TCAGATATCTTTTGTTTCTGCTTGTCTCTTCAGTTGTGTTCGATTCGTTTTTCAATTTAGGCAGTCTTTGGATGATGACTGTTCCCTTATTTGAGGGAAGTTAGAGTTTTGTTCATCTAAGTCAATTTCTCTTGGTTCTTTAGTTGTTTCTTTAATCTTGAGAATGTTAGGAGGTTCTACTTCTTTTTCTTGAAGGATTAGCATTTTCAGAGTTATTTGTTTTTTGCACTTATAGATTCTTTGAAGTTGACAGGATAGAATTTGTTTTGACTACAGGTGTTTATCTATGGTATACTAAATTTTAGTAGTTCTATTAGTATTTTTTCAAATTCATTTATCAGAGTTGTAAGTTCTTGGTTTCTTGTTGTGCCTCCTGTATATCATTTTGATGATTTGTTATTTTGGTGATTTGTTATTTTAGTTGTATTTGCATATGATGTTGGAAGTGAGTTAGTCTTAACCTGTTTTCTAGCTTCTTGGAACAAGATGTTTTGTGTATTTTATTCTTATTTGTTCTTCGTTTTTTTTAGGTGTTACACTCTTTAGAATCTGCTGAGTGATTTTGTTTGCAACTTGAGCATAAAAGAAGTCTTTCACAGGGTGACTATTCATTGCTAAGTATAAAAAAGTTGAAAATGTTGAGAACAAATCGAGATCTGATGCACAATGCAAAATTTCTCCCAGATCAAAAAATTCAGTGCAAAATCCAAGAAAATTCAATGACTACTTGGGGAGAAATACTGGAAGAATTAAAAACATCAGGTATTATTGTTACAAAACAAACAATAAACAATGAACTTCATAGAAGTCAACTAAGATCACATTTGCCAGGAAAAACTCCACTACTATTGAAGAAACATAGGGATGTCTGGTTAAAATTTGTTAACATAAGAATAAACCTGAAACATTTTGGGAAAGTGTTTTATGAACAGATGAAGGAAAAATTGAATGATTTGGGCGTTTTCAAAGGAACATTTAAGGTGAAGATCAACAAAATTTGGTGGTGGCAATATCATGTTTTTCTGCTAATGGTACAGGTAATTTACACAATTCAAAAATATACCAAGATCTTTTGGATTCCAAAATGAATGGGTTTTTCAACAAGATAATGACGTTAATATACAGCTAAATCTACAAAAAAATGGCTTCCATTGAAATCAATGTCAATACCTCAAATTGCCATCACAGCCTCTAGGCTTGAATCAATAGAGAATTTATGAAGTTTCAAGTTAATAAAAGAACTCCCAAAATTATTCTGGACCTAAAGAGAATATGAAAAGAAGAATGGAGTAAAATACCAATGGAAACTTGCAAATCGTTGATTAAAAGCTACAGAAACAGACTGATTGCTGTTGAATTGAGTAATTACTACAAAGTATTAATAGGTATTATAATTTTGTACAAATATTTTTTTTGCTTCCACATTTTTTAATTTCATTAATATAACAAATTAATTTTTCTGATTTTTTTTTTTTGCACATGCCATGGTATACAAATATTGTATGGATTATAAAATTCTTTTATAAAATCTATGTTGAATAAAAAAATTTATGGTGTACGAATATTTCTCCCCTCACTCCAGTATATATATATATATATATATATATATACACACACACACACAAGACATACAGAGCATGATGGATAAATTATTGGCATTCTATATTTTTAATTTAATGTATGTGCGGAATTTGTTTTCGATGACTGTACAGTATAGTAGAGTCAGTTGGGCACCATCTGTGAGAAAAAGAATGCCGTGACAATTTGTTCTGCCAAAAATTTGGAAAAAGCATGTGTACTGCTTGGCATTTTTGTCAGAAGCTCCAATACGAATATTTCCCAGTGTTTGGGTGTCAATCTGAGAACAGTGCAGAGGATTTGGAAAGAGTTGAATGAGTCTAATGGTGATTACAAAGTTGTTTAGAGTGATCACTAATGATGACAATATTATGTCTGCATTGATCTTTCTACAGGGCATCAGACTCGATAGGGAGGCCTACATTAAGAGCCTTGAGGTAATGCTGTCCTGAGTCAAGAGATTGGCTGCTGGAAGATACCATGTCTGGCAGTAGGACTCTGCACTATGTCACACAAACAGGAGATCCCATTCATGGCTGTCAGACAATTTCTGCAACTACATCACCCCTTAAATCAAGCCACCTAACTCCCCAGACTACAATCCCCTTGATTATTATTATAATCTATGAATGCTACCATAATCTTTGCCTTCAGTTCATGTTTGGTGTTACAAGGAGTTTTGTTGGTTTCTCCTTGTAACACCAAACATGAACTGAAGGCAAAGATTATGGTAGCATTCATAGAGTTAAACAAGAAAACCGTCCAGAAGAGTTGCAAGAGATTCCAAAGTCATCTCAAGACGGTGGTTAATGTCAATAGCAATTTTATTCAATAAATTTACTCTTTAGTATTTCAAGACATTTTTCTGTAATTTTGGTAAATATATCTGTTAAAATGAAATGTCAGTGTTATTTAACATTTTTGCATAATTTAGATGCACCCTGTATCTATTTCAGTCTCTAAGTATTTTAGATGGACAGATATAATCATCAAATTCTATAAAATGAAGATAATTTGTTTTTAAAATGGCAATTTATCTAAATCTATATACATTTTTTTTTTCAATTACTTCACCCAAAGCAAGACAACTAATCCAGTAATATGCAAGGAGTTAGTGAGTGTGAAAGAATAAGTGTAAGAGAAAACATCATGAGAAAACAATAAAAGAACAGGAATTAAGACAAAAGATGATTGATATTGCATTTTAAATTTTTCAAGATCAAAAATGACTGGAAAGCAAAAAGGATGGAATAGAGTTCAAGAAGCATGTAGTATGAGAGAAAATAAAAAACTTAATATAGAACATACAGTTTCATCTAGCCATTTCAACTGTAAAATGATGGGACCATACTGCCAATCTAGTACTGCACTTAAATTCATAAAGTCCAGGTACCATAGAGGAAAGTGATATTTATTTTGTGAAAATAGAAAAATTTGGCACAAGACCAAAAGCAGAGATGGGAAAGGCCGGTCTTCATTTTGTCTTATATTTAAACTTAGCTAGCCACAATCACTGACCCAAACAAACTGCAATATTTCTTCCACCAAAACATTCTTACTACAAACACAATACCTCAGTCTCAATGAAGTCCTAACTAGTCCCTAAAAATGACTTTCTAAGCATAGCTTAGATGTGGCACAAGTCCGAAAGTGTAGAGGACCCAGTGAGGATCAAACTCACTACTCAGTCATAATTGATTTAGTGAGAAAAGCTTGCTAAACATTACTCCACGTGGAAGTGCCCATAGAGGAAAGTTCAGAACAATTACCATGAAAGTATTTATAGAAAAAGCACAGGGAAATTATGTTACAGCAATGGGAAAGTGATTGAAGCCAAGATGCCAGAACAGGATCAATAATACTGCAGATTCTTTGCATTTTATTAAGAATTTCTAAAAATACATGTAATAAAAATCTATCAGGTTTAAAAAATAAACATTTCTCTTCTGCCAACCTTCTCTAATTTAGTAAGTATTGTGCACATGGATGACTGAACAGTAAGCAAGTATATTAACAGTGATGAAAACTATTTAAGGATTTATTTGACTTGCACTTTAAAATATTTCATGTGGTAAGGAACTGATGCATCTTGCCAGCAAGAGAGATTAGTTTAGTGCCGTTACAGCCAGAAGAGTAAACTTAAAAAAAAAATATAAAATAAATAAAAAAATAAAAGTCTATTTACAGCAGTGTCCAGCTTTGGATACTATTTCTGTTAAACAGATTTTAATAAGCAGCTTCCAGGTGAACAACCTGTTTAGTTGGTAATTAACCCCTTGATAAAAGACTAGAGCCAAAAATATTCAGTGACAAGCTCAAAAAATAAATAAAAAAAAATTTAAATAAAATTTTTTTAAAAAAAAAAATAGCAAAAACATCTAATAAAAAAATTAAAGCTTGTGATAACTGTAGCCCTCTGTCGATTTTTTTTAGTTTCAACTGTACTATTTTTTTAAATTTGAATAATAATATATATAAAGAAAAAGAAAAAAAAAAAAAAAAAAAGACTACCATCATGTCTATATAAGAATCAAATACTTTTAGCTTCCAAATCAAATATTTCTGAGAGGAAATCATTGTGATTTCAGTAAGAGAGCTATATGACTAGACTAAATGAGCTACCAAAAGTCATCTTGAGTTTCATATTTGTGTTCCTTCTATAAAAGGCCCAAGAGCAACTTGAGGTAGAGGGTAATTGGAGGAGGAGTTTGTGTGAGCAGTAAGAACAAGAAGTGTAGTACAAGATATGTGGGAAAAGTTAACAATTAACCTTAGATTTTAAGAGGTTAAAATTGTCATGGCCAAGAAAGCATCCACAAAGTAGCAGCTCATGGGAAGAAGCTATAAAATTATATATATCTCACACACACAGACGTGTGTGTGTGTGTGCACAGGGGGATGTAAAAGTAGGTATACAGTAATAAAAAACTATATATTACACAAAAAAGTCCATAAGGATGAGATCTGGTGTACTTACTGTATACCTACTTTTGCAGACTCCTGTGTATGTGTGTATATAAAAATTTCTAAGGATTAAGTAAACCTACTTAATTTTTATGCTCCATCATCAAAAATAATAGCTCAATGAGTAACAAGATACAAGATTACAATGGATTTTCAGGGACTAGAAGCACCATCAATTTAGTAGGCAAAAAACAAGCAGATGAGTAGCTTGATGTTTTGATACAAATATCAATATATTTTTTCTGAATTTAGGCAAATGAGGATACCAAGGAATCATCATCCCCCCCCAAGTAACATTTAATGTCAAAAGGAACATATTTGTCAATTTGATTTTACATTCAGCAATACAAGACATTAACAATTATTTACTGTCCAAAGTACTCTTCACATTTTAGGAAGAGTATGCAGGTCCCCACCACCATCCACAAAAGAAAATCCAAAACTTTTATTTTACTTACCCCAAATTAACGTATATACATGGGCAACTGGTATTAATGAAAGACTATATAAGGCGGCAAGGTGTAAAATTGTCATCAGCAATACATTTCTCCAGACAATTTTCATAGGTGGTCTCTTTTCCAAGTGAGTTTCTTCAGTGATCACGGGTTCGACATTCAGTTCCCCAGGATGAAGATCATCCTCTGTGGGGGTAATTTCTGTTACAATATTTAAATGGAGACATTTTTCACTGGGATTTCCAACTGAAAATAGGAAAATATAAGTAGAATTTTTTTTTAATAAATCCTCAAATAAATAATACAAAACAAAAGGTATTAATTAAACCCTATCACTAAAATTATTCATTTCAAGACAATATTCATTTATACCATAAATCTTCAATAATATATACTCAATGTACATTGTGAAAATGCACTGAATTACATTACCAGTGATGTTAATTTTGGGTCCATTGATGATAGTTTTGAGAATTTTATCACCAGCTTATCAATCATTGATCATACAAAAATGCACATCAGCAGTAAACCTTACTATGAATAGATCTAAAAACTAGTACTTCATGAAAGTCTCCAATATTAAAACTGTTCAGGCAAAATCAAATAGAAATGGTTTGAAAATTAATTGAAACAATAGTTTTAAGCTGGTAATTTGCAACCAACACCAAGTGACCAAAAAAAAGTAGAGAATGAGGGGAAAAAAAAGAAATAGTAAAAAATATAGTAAAAATATAGTAAATAGTAAAAAAAAAAAAAAAATCTATTGCTGAAATTCTTACTATAAAAATGTATTTTTATATTTTCATAGTGTTTTGACCCTAGTTTGGGGGTTTACTATTTGCCCATAGCTTTGACCCTAACAGACGCTACCACACTGGGTTAAGGTGGACCTACGAACAACAACAATTAAGAGAATCTCCCAATTCGAGTCCTTGCTGTCAATGTAGTTTATCATCATACCCAGTATGGTAACATCCTTTAAGCATTTACAATATAAAACCTACATGCACATTTATTATGAAATAATGAGCAAAGTCAAATATGGCAGCTCAAGAATTGATTAGGAATTTAAACACATTAAAATAAAAAATTGTTGCGACTTCTCAGACTAATGGAAAGATTATATTGAATCAATTGCTAGATCTGCTGCTAGGAAAGTTGGCTGACTGGACAATTTTTTTATTTTTTTTTTTACTACTAACAACTATAAATGATAAAGTAAAAAAAAAAAAAAAAATTTTTTTAATTTGGAATGACTTAGAATATGGCTGGTGGGGGGCAATTCTGGGAAGATGGGGGTGGCTCTTGCAAGAGGGCCAATTCTGTGGTCAGTGGCGATTCTGGAACTCTGAAAGTTTGAGGGGTGCACTTGTGGGCCAGAGATTTTTTTGCTGAGGAAGAGGGGAGGGATAAATTCAAGCAGCGTCTTTATTTTCATACTACACGACTATCGTATACACAAAATGAGTTTTAGTAAAAGTATGTTACTTCACTAATTTGGAATAACTTTTCATTCATATTAGTGGAGTTCTAATCTATTCTTGCCCTCTTTTCCACTCTCAAACTGTTGGACCACAAGAGAGGTTAACTTCAAAACAAAATCAAAGGGTTAATACTAACATCAATACTAGCAGAACAATGTAATTTGTTTCCTCTGATTTTTTCCTCTACAAACCTTAGGTGGGGAGGCAATCAAGGGGCCAGCCAAAATGGGTGAGGGACATTTGTCCCCTCAGAGCTGCATTGCCATTAACAAATGTCACAAATAATAAGCCTGAAATTCAAATTTGTTGCACATTTTTGATAAAGTCTCCAGTTTTGATGCCAGCAGACTCCTGGTTGTTGCCACAAATTGAAATTCAGGTGCACAATTGGATCAAACAAACCAGAAACTTCCTTTTTGGACAGAATGGTGAAACTGAATAAAGAGAAGGGCAGAACAGAATGGTAACAATGGTCAAAAGAAAAAACACCCCCACCTCAAAACCCATAATTTTAAATGAATAAGTTACTTCATTTTGATACCTATTCCATCTGGTCAAAAACTTATTTTATAAGATTGTAAAACCTTACTCATAATTTTGAAAATAAATTTATTTCACTTTTAATACCAGTTTTATAATTCTATCTGGTCTAAAATTCATTTAGCATCCAACACTTGTACAGGTGAACCACTGATTTTCTTGTAACTGATCGTCTCATCTCTATTGTCTTTCTGGACAAAAGTAAAAGCAAGCATGCATTTAAATTTCCTACAATTGTCAGACTAATTCACAACATGGACACAGATGGCAGCGTATTTAATGATGGTTTTAATATAAGTTGCTAACAGTCAATGATAATGTAGATATACAAGAGATGCATAATTAGTGCATCAGGTGTGTTATTGAATTGTTTTTGTGTGACCAGTTGGTCAAGCAAAATAGATAATCTGACAGTTCTGGAAACAAGGGTGCTGGAAAATTGGCGGTGTTACTGTAATTGTTGGTTGATTGATTGGCAGATTTTGTTGAGCAGCATATGGGTTATTTAATGCCGAAATTTAAATATATTGGACAAAATTTTATGGATTCAACTCCACAAACACACACACATATATATATATATATATATATATATATATATATATATATATATATATATAACAGGCATTGTTACTAATTTCACCATATAAAAACATTTTTATACTTTCATAGTGTTTTTTGTTTGGGGGTTCACTATTTGCCCATAGCTGGGACCCTGTAATTGTTACTTTTCTACTACTATTCCTTTCATCTTAGTTTCATTTATTTTTCTTAAATCATAACTAAGAACATCTTCCAACAACCATAAGCAAATTATATGGACAGAAAAGATAACTCCAACAAGACTTACATTTACCATCTTCATGGTGCCTATCTTACTGCCACAGTTACTGATCAGGCTACTATGGCCTACCAGCAGCAGAAGCTTAAATCTAACCATACTTCATCTTAATTTCTCCAAATATCTGATTTTCTGACACCCAAATATTTGTTTCATCAAATAGAAAAGAAAGAATTGAAGACTGTTGTAACAGACAAGAGCTATTTTATTAGCAAAACATTTTTAAAAATAAAATACTCAGTTAAAATTTTATGAATCACAAATTTTATATATAAAATTTGATTCATAAAATTTTACTGAGACTATTTTTTTTTTTTTTTTTTTTTTTCACTTATTAACTATAATTTTACAAGAAATGTATATGAGAGGAAAGCGTTTAGTAGGTTTTATTTAAAATTTGATATGGCCAAATTTCACTACCAACTTCTCAAACCACACAGGGACTCTTGTAGTATGGAAGACATAACTTATGTATTCACAACTTCAAGTTCTTCAAAGTCTTGGTTTGGTATAATAGACTTGATCCTTTAACCAACCCCCACTCACAAAAAAAAGTCACAGGGTTTTAAGTCAGGACTCCTGGGTGGCTCCTCATACATAAAATAAAGAGTTACTTTTGAATCACTCAACATGCACATATACATATTCAATTGTCAATAGCATAATTTAAAAAAATTTCTTTCAGTCTACAAAAATTTTGTCTTAGAGTTTGCCTATGTATTTGAAAATTGCACCCTGAAGATGGCAATTTGAAATTGGTGAAAGTACTTGACATGTGTTTTCCATCTGACAAGAACTTGAATATAAGGATCTTATTATTCAAGAAGTTGATAGTAAGTTAATGTCTCATTAAGTCCTGTTAACAAAAGTGATTTTGCCATTAATCATATTAACATTGCTATTTCTCTGTATAAATTGATTTCTTTGTGATATAAAATATAAGCTATATATATATATATATATATATATATATATATATATATATATATATGTGTGTGTGTGTAAAAAAGCATTTCATCCCAAGCAAAGCAATAAAGCCACTAAGAAGGGGGTTCTTGAGTGAAAGAATAAAAGTAAAAGAAAAATATTAACGAGAGGAACAATAAAAGAAGTGGAATTAAGAAAACACTGGATATCAATAACATTGCATTTAAATTTTTGAAGATCAAATTTGATTGGAACACAAACCAGAAGAGAGTTCCACAAGCAATTTGGGCAAAAGAAGAAACTGTTAGCATAGAACTTATATATATTTTAAGCATTAAACCCCAAGCATGGCAGGAAGCCACTAACACACAAAGGGTTTCAGAGTAGGAGTGAGAACAAAGAGAAGTGATAGAGGAAAGGATGAAGAGAGGGTTAGGGGATAGATCAGGGCATCTGGAGATGTCGATTGACATTACATTTGAATAGTTAGAGATTATAGTTATCAGGAAAACAAGAAATGGGGAGGGAGTTTCACAGGCGAGAAGTGCGAGACATGAAGCTATTGGAGTAGAAGAGACAGCTACATTTAACAGTTTCGACAGTGAAAGTGTGAGAGAGAGATGACAGCCTAGTTGAGTGCTTAAATTCAGGAAATCTGGGAACCAGTGAAAGCAGCTTATCGGAGCAGTTACCGTGAAAGTATTTGTAAAAAAGACAGAGGGAGGCAACAGCACATCTGTGAGAGAGCGGCTGCAGACAAAATTCCAGATCAGGGCCAATTACATTGCATATCCGTCTTTGGATTTTATCAAGGACCTTGTGGTTACATCTAGCGATTTCAACTGAAAGATGATGAAACTTTGCTACCAATTTAGTACTGTGCCTAAATTTTCAAATGTACCAAATAGGAAAGTTCATCAGAACAATTATGGATTTAACAGAACATTGAACCCTAATACTGCAATGCCAGTTTTACAGTAAAATAAAAAAAAGTTAAAATATACTTCAATGCTTTTCTGTTCATAGTAGGTCATCTAAATAAACCAAACTTGCATAATGCATCCCTACCAAGATGTGATGCAATAAAAAGGAAAAAAAAAAGGAAAAACACCTCTGAAAAACGTTAACTTAAATGTTGTATGAATATAGTTTAATAATGGAACATTAATTATATTTTTCAAGTGCATATCTTCTCTTGTCTGCCTTGTCACTTCAGGATGTGGGCAATCATAACTCCACAACATCTTAGTTTTTGTAGCACTAAATCATATTTTCCTCCTTACTATC